TTCTGTCCCTCAGCTGGGAGTCTGGTCTCGCAGGTGTACAAACAACATGACATTGGAGGCATGGACTGATCACTGCTGTGTACAGTTGTGAAGAATCACCAGCAGGCTTGAAAAACAAAAGAGACACAAAGCCTGATGTCATATATACAGACTGTGTGTGAGTGAGCAGCCTGTTTGATGTGCAGACCGTTCCCTCTTCAACCAGAGCACCGCGTCACAGGAAAACTCTCCTCAGCCCGGGTCGCTGACGGGAGCCGACAAAGAGAGTGTGAAGCAGCCGAGTCGTCCCAGTAGAGATCCCAACGTCCTCTGTAGGGTTCATCATGTATAGAACTGCCTGTGTCCTGATAGTGTGTGTGCGTGTTGTCTTATTGTTTTTATACGTATTAAAACATTTTGATTTGTAAATAACAAGCTGCCATGTGGTTCTGTGTCTTAAAGAGGAGGATCTACGGGCAGACATGGAATATAATATTCAAGGGTATGTTTTCATTAGTGTGTAAATAATGTTTTTTGTTACCTTAGAATAAACGTTTTTATCCACAGAGAGCAAAGTCTCTTCCATGGAGTCTGCCATGTTTCTACAGTAGCCCGGAACAGACAAACCAAACCCCGGCTTTAGATAGGGCCTTTTTTTTTTTTTTATTTTGCAGCCACCGTAAATTCACATACAAGCTTGGAAGCAAGTCACATTTATTTAGTTGCAATCTGCAACCACTAGGTGGTTTTTTAAAGACTTTTTACTAACTGGTGAAGTTTGGTCCAAGAGCGATAATCCAGAGACCTACTCACAGTTTGTGTGAGCACAATGATAATTAACTTTTATTAAACATATGATGGTGGTGATCGTTAATGAGCACCAACAGTGTCACAACATCAGAGTGTATGGATTGAATTCAACTGGAAAAAATATAGTTTGTAGCGTTTGTCAGAATTATTCATCAAATTAAAAATAAGCTTCAGTTTGACAGTTAATTTTGCGTTTGTTAAATAATCATCAACTGTGATTAATATAAATAAAGCTGATATCAGGGTCTTTGCTGGATTATCTTGTAAAATCAGGGAAACCGACCTGGTTGCAGGAATTAAGAGTAAATATATAAAAATATCTTATCGCTGATGGTCTCAGCTTACATAAAGGCATCAGTTATTAAACTGAGACCAGTTAAAAACTCCTTGTAGTAGGTTTAATGTGTTTTGCGCAGCCTGATCCTGGGCCAGTATCTCTACAAGGATCTGAGGACGAGGTTCAGGAGCAAAAACAAACGAGGTCATTCTTCCTCTCCAGCTTCAGTTCTTATGTTTGTGAACACATTTGTGCAGTCAGTGATCTTAATGATGGATCCTAAGGAACACAAAGATACAACAGTCAATGTAAACTAAATCTTTATTGGTACAACAATCAGAATAATCAAAAATAAGAAGCTTTTTTACTGTTTGTGTTAACATTCATACTGTTAATATAAATTAACAACAACATCCTGATTGTATATGATATTCCAGTGATTCCAGACATCCATCACACAAAGTTTGATTATTATTAACCAAAAAAATTAAACACACTTAACATGTTTGGCTCATTTTGATAAACTTAAAAAAGTGCATAATATAAAATAACCTGAGCTGAGGAAAATATTTAAATCCAATCACAATATACAATACATACTAAATACATAGAAGAAGCTATAGATAAAACAGTGTAAAGGCATTAAAAAGCGTGTCTGTTCTGTTAATATCTTGTTGTTAGTTTTCTCCTATAAGTTTCTAATGCTTTTAATAACTCCACTGTGTACGTGTACATTACGATGCATCCTTATACAGACTTCCCATCGTTCCATGCCAATATATCCTGACATCCCAATAGTTTTATTAGCTTAATAATAAGGATTAAATCAGAATATTCTATCACACTGATGCATTAATCCTGTAAATCCAACATAAAACAGCTCGTTCTCATTTATACCCAGAGGTCTAATGCAACCAGAGATATTAATCAATAAACGATACATTAATAAACGATCACTGTGACGGATCATCTTCATCATAATAATTTCTATTGGACCTTTTCCACCGTCACAGAGACCTTCACTGGTAAAATCTTCAGCGGGACATGATTCTCGGTGTAAATGTACGGAAACAGGGTGTCAGTGAAGGTGTGTGTGAAGGTGTGTATGTGTGTGTTGGTATNNGAGTTAAAGCCCTCAGAGCTCAGGACACATGGGTGCATCTCAATCCTTTCTGAGTCCAGATGAACTCTGACCCTCTGGAGCTTCGTCTTCACTGTCAGATCTCTCTCTGGTTCGGATGTGGAGAACGCTGTGAATTTCCCATTTGAGAACAAAATTCTCCACAATCCAGACTGGAGGTGTCCGTCGGTCTTCATGTATTCTCCCAACATGCCGAGCTCCCAGTCCTTGTTGTCTCCGACCTCGACGTCCCAGCTGTGAGCCCCTGAGTTGAAGCCCTCAGAGGTGTGGACGGAGCAGGAGAATTTGGTCCTCTTCGGATTTTCAGGAAGCTTCTGTTTCTCTCCGTA